AAGAGAAGCCAACATAATAAATTGTTCATGAAGATAAATAAAAGAGAGTGGTGGGATATTGGTATCAGGTGATGGCACGGAACTGTGCCCTTGTAGAGAAGCCCATACGGTATTGTGGTCAAGGCCAGTCCCATGGTCCATGCTGTCCAACTGCTCAAGTGTGTGAAGTGGTTCCAGGTCAACCAAATGAAGAGGGTGCCTGTGCCGAACTTGAACACAGGAAGGGTGGCGGACTATACATGCTGAAAGGAAGCTGACTCCCTGGTAAGCCCTAATGATTTGGGATGAGAAGGATAATCTTCTGCAAAGCTGGAGGGGCCGGGGAAACCCGATCACACCCCGATCTGAAGGAGTATCCAGACTGTCTCTGTGGTCCTGTGTATCTGGAACCTGTTAGTCTCAAAGTTATACTTAACCGCAATGGCAAATCTCATTCTGCAAGACCTTGGCCAGATTTTCTAGTGTTTGTTTATATAGAATTTAAGCATTGTGAGATCATAGTTGTAACCATGGTCACAATTGTGGTGGGGAGAACTCTGTACGTAGGAGAGGATCATTCAGCTGGGACCGATAGAGTGTATTGGAATAATCAGATTCGTGTGAATTTTGGATCCATTGTGAGAGGAATGGACAATTGAGCTCAGTCTCCCAGTATTCACGGTTCCCAGAATTGTGTGATCAATCCTTCAATCCCTGCAGAACAGGAGTCAATTGCCATTGTGTGATTTGCTAAGGCAAAACCCAAGAAAAAACGCTAAATGCTGTGCTGAGGTGGCTTGTTCTAGAATCAAGACAGCTTTTGTATTTTGAGATCTGCCATAGCCTCCCCTAGCACCAACTGTGGTATGACCCTGAGCGATATCTGGTATGTTGTTCAAGGAAAAGACAGAGTTTTACAATGACAGTGTATACCATGAGTTAGTGGTGTTACCCCATTGGTTTTCTAAATTGACCAAATTGCTCTTTTCGGGACTGCTGGAGCAATCCATTGAGCAAGAGACTCAGGTGCAGGGATCATGCAACGTGGCTGTGAAAGGGATCTGGCCTAGAGAATAAGCATCCACTTTGAGGCCAAATCAAGGCAAGTGAGTAATATGTTGAGAAAGGGAATTGGTTAAGGATCTGGTGACTGGTTTAATATTGGAGTAGGAGGGGTTAACTCCATAGCTTTGGCTAACTGGACCAAAAGGTCAGGACCCTTACGGCCCAGTTAAAAGGAGATGGTAAAGTTAGGCCATTGGATCCAAATTAAGGGATGGTAAAACTCTCAGGATCTGGACAGATGGGTCCAGCTGTTGATCCCTACCCTGGAACAGCATGCAACAACTATCAATGCATTGCTGAAGGACCAGAGGAGCACAAAATGATGTCTGCTCCATGTATGGAGGACGGATAGCAGAGCAGGCCTAGCTACATTTTAGACTGATATATCAGGACAGCATTCTCTTCTGGGTCACCAATACCCAAATCTGCTACTTGATATCTGGATCAACGAATTTGACCTGTTGCCAATGCAGGGTTTACCGCACATGTGTTCAGCCAAGGTTGATAATATAGTTAAACATGGAATGCTGATAGGAGCACAGTCATCCATTCCAAAATTACAGGGAAGGAGAAACCCAAACACACAAATAAAGTACAGAATATTGGAGTCATATGAGAGGGACACCACATGCTGTATAACAATGACATTCACGCCTACGCTGTACCATCAGGGGAGGTGATTTCAGGGTCCACCCTGATGGGATGTAGGATGGGGAAAATGTCTATTGTCCACCTTCACCCCATCTACAAGCTTTTCCTGGTTTTAATGCTTTGTTAAATGTACTATGCAAGCAACATACGGGAGTAACCCAAGTGACATGCATGGGAGCTCCTCAGCTCCGCCTGTTCATTTGCTTTCTTTTCCCTATTTTTCGCCCTCCCTTTTTTTCTTCTTCTCTCCCCTTAGCACTGGAGGCAAGTCCTGGAGCAGCAGCAGGCACCGGCAGAAAGTCCTCGAAAGCCCTGGTAGCAAACGCGTGGGCCACGAGCCCCGGGACACCAATGACAAGCGAGCCCTGGTACAGCACGTGGCCTGCGAGCCCTGGAGCAGTGCGCGGGCACTGAGTCCCAGGCGGAGACTGGCACAGCGGGGAGGCAGTCCTCGCACTTACCTTGGAGCGGGAGTGGATTGGGGCTCGGAGTGGAGCAGGGAGGCTGTTGATTGGGGTCTGGTGCCAGCGGTCAGACTGTGTAAGGAGGCCATGCGCTGAGCTGCCGCACTGTAATGTCTATTTGAAACTTCCTACCTTACTGTAATGTCAACCCTTCAATGATGTCCTATTTTTAAACTTATTTTTCAACTCAATAAAGTACAATTACTTTCATTCCACTGCTGTATCCAAGAATTGTACCTAGAAGTTGCCATAAGAAGGCAGACATTGTAAAACCTTTTCACTGTACTCCTATAATGGAGTGACAATAAAAAAAATTCTATTCTACATTCTATTCTAACAAGCACAAAGATATCTTGGTCACCCATCCAAAACTGCTCGATGTCCATTTTACTCTTCTCGCGTAAGGCAGATAGAATGAGTGGATATCCATAGCAGAAGATAGAGGCATTGGCATCTATGACAACCAGAAGGAAGACCTCAACCGATATATGAATCAGTTTTTGTGCCCAAGCCTCCATTATCCAAACACATAACCAGGGAAAGGCAAGTGTTGAGACGAGTGTGAAGGTGTATTATATCCTGCAGTAATTATGTGAGCAAGTTCAGAGGGAGGTTGAAGGGATTAGGAGACCAAGTGGTAGGATGGTCTTTGGGATTCGGGGATCCACTCCTGGGTCCGTATTGTGTCCCACATGCTGGTGGTAATCCAATTTATTTGTATTGGTAGTTCTTTGGGATTGGTTGGAGGGGGGCGGTGGTTGAATTTAAGTACAGGAGCAGGAAAGTCTCACTGCAATTGTGTGGGGCTTCAGTGAGCTGACAACTAAAGAACCATGCACAATGTTTGTCTTTGCACTGAATAAAGCATACCTGACTGAGAGAGGCAGCAGTGAAGGCACATTGGATTGAATCCTGGGATGAGAGGGTTATCCTATAAAAAGAGCGACTATGTGGACCACCTTTTACATCCTACAGTTTAGATTAGTTTGAGATGATCATATTAAAACATCAAAATATTCTTAAGGGCCTTAAGGGGAACAGATGCTGAGATGATCTCTCCGGCAGGAAATCTAGCCCATGATCACACTTTCATGATCTCAGAATGAGATAAGTGAGATTTCCCCACGCAGAGGGTTGTAAATTTTTATAATGCTCTACCCTGGAGAATTGTGGATGTTCAGTCACTGAGCATTTTCAAGGCTGACATCAATAAAGTTTTAGACTTTAAGCAAATCAAGGAATGAGGAAGTGGACAGAAAAGTGGAGCTGAGGTTGAACAACAGTCATGATCCCTTTGCATTGTACAACTGGTTTTGAAAGCCATTTGATCAACACTTCTGCCTATCACTTAGGGTCCTATGAGTGAATCCATTCCCAATCACTGTACCGTGATCACAAATGGGCCAATCAGATCCAAACCTGCTGATTAAATCAGGTTATGATTTCAGTCTGTTAGGGTCCACTCCCACTACAGTCCAGTGTCTAACTGGATTCAAAAATATTCCCGATTGTGAATATGTTACCAATTGCATTCACACTATAATGCTGATTAATGGCTGACCATTCATGACACTCTTAGAGAGAGGCTGTTGTGATGCAGTGGTAGCATCTCTATCCTTTATCCAGGAGGCCCAGGTTCAGGTCCCACCTGCTCCAGATGTGTGAAAACAGCACATCTGAACTGATTAATTTAAAATATCATCTCAATACTATCAGGTTGTTGTTCCAATATTTTACTTCCCCATCCCCAAATCTGAAACATATATGACATGTTCACTGCATGTAATATCACGTCTTAATCACTGAGAAACCATTAAATATTAATTTTAAAAATCCGACTGCAATCTAACAAGGTAAAATAGTAAATTGTGACAGATTGGAGATACCACTTAACACAAGGAACGAGGGTTACGGTCTACTGAATAGAATCAGGGATAGTTCACATATTTCTTGGAATTGGCCTGTTCATTTCCCTATTCTCCCAGTGCTTGTGGCTATCAATGAGTCTGTCATAACCATCAAATACTGCCACTCCTACATACCCTCTGATTCCCAAAGACACCCCATTCCCACAGATGCCCTTGCCCCAATACTCCCACATACACATACCCACCCACCCAAAACAGACACCCCCCAGCATTCTCCATACCCCAACACACACATATACAAAAGCACATCCCCACATTCCTTACACCCCCAAACACACACACACACACACACACCTACACTACCCACACAAACACATAACCACATACCTGCAACCTCACACAGCATTGTGCCTGTGCTCCCACACAACACCATGGGCATATCCTCACAGCACACCATACCCACAACCTCACACACTCACACACATAGCACCGTGACCCCACACAGCACCATGACCCCACATGGAACTGAGTGTCCACATCCTCACCTCACTGTGTCCACCCCACACACAGTGCCCACACAATCACCGAGCTTTCAATAGCACATCCTCCAGTACTAACCACATAATTAAATGATACATTCAGTAATTGAGAAAACTCAGCGGAACTCATTCCAAAAACCACAGCTTGGTATTACAAATGTTTTGCTGTTCAATCCGGTCGACAGTTCCCAGGCATTGACACTATTGCGATGAAGGCACATTGCAAATGGTGTTCACCTCAGACAAGCTGTAGCTGCTGGAGAAGGTCGGTCTTAGTGTATGCAGCATTTTACTATTAGGGGTTCATAACGTGAGCTCTTTAGTATCCGAGCACACAGCCCGACCTGAGTCAAGGTGAAGGATAGTAAGAACTGCAGATGCTGGAGGATAACATTAATCAAGGTGAAGGATGGTCGCTTTAATGCCTTACTCACCTCACAGCCATACAACTGATGAAGCTGAAAATCCAGCCACTCCTCGATGTCCAGTCTCCTCTGCAGGTCCTTCCTGTCGTACCGGACCGTGAACTTGCCCAGTTTCCGCTGTGACTGAGTCTCCTCTTCCTTGCTTGTGGACTGAAAGTAGACACGGGACTGTGTGCTGGGCTCCGCCATCATGCGGACTGACCTGACTCGACTGATCGGTGCAATAAACCAGCCCGAGAGTCTAAGCTGCTGCAAACCTGAGCTCGCATGTGAGATGGAGAGTGAGTGCAGCCGTCACTCAGTTGCTCCGCCTCTTTCCCCCCACCCTCCCAATTCCTTCTCCACTTCACTGGCAGATGGGAGACACCAGCACACAAACACAGTCTGTCTGCCAGTCTCGACATACAATACCCTGAGAAAAACAATGCTCTGTTCTCGGTCTTGTTTGCGTGAACTGCTGTTAGATCCAATGACTTATTTTGTTGCGTTAATAAAACTATGCAGATTAAAACAAGCCAATCGACGTTTGTTTACGTGATCCGCCTCTCCAAGGCTAATAAAACAGCTTCATGGGTCAGGAGTTTGAACGGCGGTCTTATTTTCTTGAGCTTTTTCATGAATTATCTCCTTAAGCTTTTCATCTTGTCGGATTCTCTCTGGCCAATGCTCCAGTCACCTGCCCTTCATGGCTCAGTGATGAATTTTGTTCCATAAAATTCTGCCGAGTACCATCATGACATTTCACTGTTTTAAACCTGCTATCTTGGCTATCGAGGGAGTCACAGCGAAGTGTATTGAGACCACAAACAAAGCAGGCTCAAGATGCGAAACAGTCCATGTTTGCCCATAGTGTGTCGGTATAAAATGAACGTTGTTGTTGCAGTATTGTTGTCCCGGGAATATGTTATTGCTATCACAACAGTTTTCCCATATTGTCCTCATCCTTATATAACACCTCTTTGAAGCAGGATGGGGCTTGAACCTGGGCCTCCTGTCTCAGGAGTAGGGGAGACTATCATTGCACCACAAGAGCTCCCTTACGGTAACACTGCTATGGTCCAACATCACAGTGGTGTTCTTTTTTAACCTGAGGTTCACCATACCTCAGGTAAGCGGAGAGGTTGAGAAGGAGAGACCTACACGTAACCTCAATCAATTGGTCGGGGAATTGAACCCATGCTATTGGCATCACTCTATATTGCAAACCGAGTGTCCAGCTAACTGAGTTAACTAATCCCCTTCCTGTGTTGTCATACTTAAGTTCACTGAAGCCATATTTGTGTAAGTAAAACAGCAATAATTCAAAGAGAGAGTAGGAACTGCAGATGCTGGAGAATCCGAGACAACAAGGTGCAGAGCTGGATGAACACAGCAGGCCAATGATGCTATTTGGCCTGCTGCGTTCATTCAGCTCTGCACCTTGTTGTCTAGCAATAATTCAAAGTCCAGATATGGCAGAGATTCAGAACCCAATTTGGGCCTGCTGCCTTTGTGAGCCTACAATTGATGTAGAGAGCCCCTCCTGTTGGTAAATAGTACAATTGCCACCAGTGAAGATGATGTTCCCTTTCCGTGAAGATTATTTAATCTAGCGATGGATATGGTGACTCCTACAGGATTTCCTGTTGGAGAGCGCCTCCTAGTGATGAAAGGGTCATCTAATAATGTAAAAAAAATCTACTGCGAAAGGGAAATCCTCCTATAGAGGGAGAATCTCCTCCTATTTAAAAACAGTGATCACTGAGGGCAGCCCCCTTCACCTTGGCAGAAAAAACTCCTCCTAATGGTGAAAGAAGACATTACAATTTGTTTTGACACCATTAACATCTCCTTTAAGCAGAAAGAATACCTCATGATGTGTACAGAGGCCCTCGCATGGTGGGTAGCACATTTTATTGGAGAATAGGGTAATTGCGCTTGGTAAAAAAGACTCCTGTAACCATGACAAAAAGCCTCATAAAGAGAGTATTACCTACTAGTGGACAGAGTCCCTCACTTCACTGGGCATGACTGTTATTCACCAGAAAAAGAACTCATCTCAATGAAGAGAATGCATTCTAGTGTTGAAAAGACCCATTAGCATTGGTGCTGGGGACCTCTGTAATTGTTGGAGAGAGCTCCTCCTGTTGGTGAACTCAACACATGCCAGTGATAACAAGTGTTCCTTGTGCCTGTGATAAGAGTGCCTCACATATCTGTCAATGGTTTTCGATTCATGGAAACCTGCTTTAGTTGTCAATGAAGAGAACACTTCTTATTGGTACAAAGCAACGTCTGTTGGTGAAGAGATGTGAAAAAGGTGCCTCCTGCTGGTGTAGAATGCAATTTTTCCAAGGGAAAATAACCTTGAGTTTGATTATTTTGAGTATGATTATTTGAGTTTGATTATATCGACCTGGCACTCGGGAAGAATATTCCTCAAAGGAGTACCAGGAGAATGTTGATAACAAGGTGTAGAACTGGATGAACACAGCAGGCCAAACAGCATCAGAGGAGCAGGAAAGCTGAAGTTTCGGGCCTAGACCCTTCTTCAGAAATGGGGGGTTCTGAAATAAATGGTGAGAGAGGGGGAGGGGGATAGAAGATGGATAGAAGAGAAGATAGGTGGAGAGGAGTCAGACAGGCCAAAGAGGCGGGGATGGAGCCAGTAAAGGTGAGTGTAGGTGGGGAGTTAGGAAGGAGATAGGTCAGTCCAGGGAGGACAGACAGGTCAACGGGGCGGGATGAGGCTAGTAAGTAGGAGATGGGGGTGGGGCTTGAGGTGGGAGGAGCAGATAGGTGGGAGGAGGACAGGTTATGGAGGCGAGGACAAGCTGGGCTGGTTTTGGGATACGGTAGGGGGAGGGGAGATTTTGAAGCTTGTGAAGTCCACATTGAGGTTGCAGGGTTCCCAAGCGGAATATGAGGTGCTGTTCCTGCAACCTTCGGGTGGCATCGTTGTGGCACTGCAGGAGGCCCCCAGGATGGACATGTCATCAGAGGAATGGGAGGGGGAGTTGAAATCGTTCGCGACTGGGAGGTGCAGTTGTTTAGTGCGAACCGAGCGTAGGTGTTCTGCAAAGCGGTCCCCGAGCCTCCGCTTGGTTTCCCCGATGTAGAGGAGGCCACAACGGGAGCAGCGGATACAGTACCACATTAGCAGATGTGCAGGTGAACATCTGCTTGATGTGGAAAGTCTTCTTGGGGCCTGGGATGGGGGTGAGGGGGGAGGTGTAGGGGCAGGTGTAGCACTTCCTGCAGTTGCAAGGAAAAGTGACGGGTGTGGTGGGGCTGGAGGGGATTTTGGAGCGGACAGGGGAGTCCTGGAGAGAGTGGTCCCTCCGGAAAGCAGATAAGGGTGGGGAGGGAAAAATGTCTTTGGTGGTGTG